GACGGACGGACAGACAGACATGGCTTAATCGATTTCTTTTTTCATCCTGATCATTTATGTATACATTTGTCTATATCTATCTCGATTCGTTTTGGCTGTTACAAACAACCGTTATGTGAACAAAATTAATATACCCTTGTGCACAAGTGCGCTCGGGTATAAAAATAAGCCGACGAATTGATAACCTCTTCCTTATTTGGAAGTCAGTTAAAAAAAATCCTTATCAAGCTAATTCTCAAATTTTAGCTGCAGTTTTACCTGTACCAGTGCATAAATTAAGCTCAATTAAGTACTGATATTTTATCTCCCTGACAAAATTTTAACTAAAAAAAAAACTAAAAAATTTGAGTTTCAAAAACGAATCCGTCAGAGGGGGGGCAAGTGAATGAGGTGAACGTTCAGCAAAGGAAAATTACATCGTCAATCGGCATTAGCTTTTATACTCACGGCTTTATCTGCAAAAGCGCATATTGAATTCGTAAAGGAAGGCATGTTTTATCATTTTCCAAAAATGGAATGTTTTCAAAAAATCTTTCTTTCACACTAAAAAATATTTGGGCAATTTCCACATAGGTTCCTCAATTCAAAAAGCAGTCCATGAACTTTTGATACGTCCGTCTCTAGTTGTGGTGAAATTTTAAAACGTTTATAGAAAAACACAACTGGATTGCTGAAGTGTAGATAACCCAACCTGAGGTTTATCAGCTCAATAGGGTCTCGTGAAACTAGTGTTGTTCCGTGAGTTTTTAGGTAAAAGATTGACCGAGCTTTGCCCGTAGTGCATATACTTTTTAAAGTTTTCAAGATTTGGATGGCTTTCAAAAAAAATATTTTGGAAAAAAAATTGGATTTCGATATCAAATTTCTTACTCCAAAATTTAGGTGGCAAACCTATCCCGAAATACGCTGGAATGAATGGTACATATCTTGAGCGTATATGTACTGCGTATACATAAAAAAATGCTGATTGAAATTAACAAAATACAAATTTTTATTACATAGAAGCGTGGCAACCCTAATGGAAAATATTTTCAGCCCAAAGTTCTCAGCAATACCTTTCATTTGATATCCATATTACGATGTTTTAGATAAAGAGCACAGAAAAGTACTTGTCAATAAACCCACCGAAGTCCACAATTGTCACATTTAGCAAAAGAACCAAAGTCAACTCTTACTCTGGCATTCAGAGCGCAGTCTCTACTCACTAATAGTGACTTCTCGTGGTGAACATCGATTTTGCGATTATTTGGTATTCAGTAAGGTGTCTTAGGTCTCTAGTCTAGAAAAAACGCCACTCATTTTTCAGCTGGCTCTAAGCAGGTTCCAAAAAGAAAAACAAAAAAATATGGAGACAAAGATAGTTGCTTCTTATTTTATTGAAAAAAAAAGCGGGAGTGCAGAGTGGCAATATTTTTTAACAATAATTTCATTAAAAAATAAACCAAAATTCATACTGAAATATCATACAACTTCATTGAAAAAAATAAAAATATTTTTAAAACATAAAAAACAATTAAATTTAAAAAAGAATAATACATGTTTGTTTTCACCACACATTTTTTGTAAACTTTTTGTGACTCTCTCTTATTGAATATCCAATTCTTTTCAAGTCAAAAAAAGAGTCACTAATTGCTATTCTCAAATTGGATGATTTGCGATGAGATTGCCTCACTGAATCTCAGCATTATTTTCAGCAACATGAAAACCATTTGACTTTGACCGATTCTTGTGAAAAAGTTATATGCACTAATCAAAAAAAATCTCAATTTTCCATATTTCGGTATTTAGCTAAGAAACTGCATTACCACTTTTCCAAACAAAAAAAATTTAAAAAAGAATAAAACAAATCTCAACCAAATGCCGACATATAAATGGCCGCTGCACATACAGTTGTAAGCGACAAAGTTATAATTTTGCAAGAATAGGAAAAAGAATAGTTAGATCAGGTCATTTGATTTGGTTTTCTACTAGGAGTCCTCAAGAAACTTGCCTTCAAAGAATAAAAACTATGTACTTATGAACATACATATATGAAGTTATATCTTTAAAATTAAGAAAACCAGTTTGGAGGAGTGTTTCGCTTACAACTTCATTCTCTACATCTATTTTTCATGAATATATTTTATGAATGAAAATAAATTTGCAATGTCGATGCAAAGCGCACGACATGCACAAAAAATGTATCCACTTATTTTTAGATTTTGTTGTTCAGTTGAAACCATTTTTGTTGTACAAATAAGTTAATCAGAAATTCAATAGACCGATAAACAAAATTTTGTAAACATTTTCCTAACTAAGTGCGAAAATAAAAATAAACAAAATACATTCGCTTTAATTACCTCACACAACACTTTAAAATTTATAATTAATAAGTATTTGCTTAATGTTGGAAATATCGCGCACAATCAATGCAATCCATTCAAAGCAAAAGTGCTTAAAGCCAACAAGAATGCATTTCATTTTTCATGAAGTTTGCCTTCAACACCATCACTGCGCGCTGCGTATCTTTCTCAATGCATTTTTTATTTTATTTTATTTTTACCAAGCAAAAACTAGTTTGGCAAGCCATACTCAGTCAAATTTATGTGCATATGCGAGTACTAAGAGTACAATGCCTGTAGCTATGTAGGCACATTAAGAATGAAAGTGTGTGCGCATTGAAGCGCGGGTGTTTGCCCCGGGCGAAAAATGCATGAATTATGGGTGCGTTTATTCCCACATAATTGTGAATTTTCAGCCAGCTCTTATACATACATATGTACATATGTATTACCGCTAAATTTTCAGACAATGACTGACTGGCATATGTATCAACATTAGGTTGGCGAAAAATGCATGTGAAAAAGTAAAGTCGGAACTTTTATGCTCTCACCGAAAAAAATAAACCCGGATTCCTAGTAATAATACCCAATTGTCTATTTAACCATTTTTTCATTGCAACTATAATTTATAGGTCTGACAAAAACCCACAAAAACCCCGAAAAATGCAATGGGGCAACAAATAAAAAATCGTTAGTATTAAAAAATTATTAAATAGACAATTGGGTACTATTATTGAAAGTCTCCTGAAAAGAACCAGAATTTTCCAATCGAAAAATATTGACTTTCAAGAATTCTATACCATTTCTATGAAAAAATTAATTTTTTCCATATCAAAATACATGGAAAAAATAGGGGTACACTTTTTTCGATATAGAACAATACTAGGGGGTGAGATCATTAAGATTCAGACTTAACTGTTTTTGGACCACCCTACTCAACATAACGAGTGCGCTTAATGTATGTATGCATGTATGTACATTAGATTGCATGACTCATAAATTACGTTAGCATTAGTTAAATTTGCGCAAATTACTTGTTTAACTGAGCATGAATGTTAGGTATAGCTAACTGCTTATTTTGATTAGCCCAAAGAAAACGGTAAACATACGAATATATTAGTGCAGAAAATGTCTAATGTTCATGTAATCGGTAAAGTCGTTCACGTACATATGTAGATATACCTAAAAGTACGTACATACATAAATGCGTCTGTAAC